TTTTTTTTATTGAGGGAAAACTGAGGCTTCTCTCTCGCGAAGATACGTGAAATTTTTCGGCAATATCGGAAAACGATGTCCCGATTCCTCCTACCGTCACTGACACGATTATCGGACACTCTAAATGGAATAACAAATGAAACTGACGACTGTCACCGAAAAGGAAACTTGCGCCACCGGTGCCAGAAGAAGCGTAGTTTCAAGAGAAAAAAAAAAAAAGAAAAAGAAACTATCTATCTCCTATTCGATTCACACTTGGTCCTGCGATACTTGAACGTTCTCTCTCTCTCTCTCTCTTTCTCTCTCTCTCTCTCTCTCTCTCTCTCTTTCTCTCGGGTATTTTCAACTTCATTACTCACTGCCAATTCTCAATTCTCAATGAAATCAACTCCCAATCCCTTTCCAACTGAATACAAAAAAATCAAAGATGTATAGATACAACGTGAAACGTGGTACACATGGTCGCCGGTCTCTTCAACATTGTCCCTCACCCTCTCTCTCTCTCCCTCTCTCCCTCTCCCTCTCTCTCTCTCTCTCTCTCTCTCACTTTCAGTTTCCCGTTTCTTTTTCTCTTTGTTCTGTCCCCAAAACCTACCTCGTCCACTTGCGGGGGCGGAGTGGTCGCGGAGGCGTTTTGGGTCGTATTTGGTGGTGTTGTAGTTGTAGTAGTAGTAGTAGTGGTGGTGGTGGTGGTGGTGATGGTGGTGGTGGTGGTGGCTGGGGCGCCGGGCTCGTGAGGGTGTGAGTGGGTGCTAGAGAGGGACGCGTCCCTTTCGCGCTCCATCGCAAGCTTGTAGACCTTGTTGCGCAGTGTGCTACGCGGTATCCCGTAGATCACGGCCGCCCTTCGTGTGCCGAGCTTGCCACTCTGGATATCCCTGAGCGCGGCTTGCAGTTCCTCCTCGGTGTAGGCCCTCCGGCCACCCCCGGCACCCACCACGGGGACACCACCGACGCCTGCCGCGGCTGCTGCGGCCGCCGCCACGGCCGCCACCGGCCCGGTCATACGTGGTTTCGCGCGGTAACAAGAACTAAAACAATCAAACGTACAACATCTGTGACACGTGCGCACGTCCACCCGCGTCCACTCTTCTTATCGTCATTCGTCGTCGTTATCAATATCCCTCTTATTCCTCCTTCTCTCTTTTTGGCCTCCTTTTGTTGCGATGCACCGACAGACAGCCCCGATAATTATCACCGATAACCGATGTTGTGCGCAATTGCACAGTTATCGGGGTAGTTTTCGTGGTACAGGCTCACGTGGTAGGAGCGGTAGCAACGTACCCCCAGCCACGTGGCCGGGCGTGATACGCGCACGTGTTCCGCACGAGAAACGAATCGATCCGGGCGGAGTGTGGTCTCGTTAACACTTTGATCTTTCGCCTAGCCGGCCGCGTTACAACGAATCGAGCAATCTACGAAATTGAAACAGGTCCGTGAAGCGAGAGACAGCCGAGGTTATTACGCAATTCGCGCTGCTTAAAACTTGCTTAAAACGGCCAACCGATCGCGGCTGGGAAATTCAAAATATATACACCAAAAGTATCGATCGAACTTTGTTCTTTTTTTTTTCTTTCCGTTTAATTTATCTCCGGATCGTGTCAAGCTGTTGAACGCGTACTCGTCTAATGAAATTAAGAGATTAACGAAAAGTGGAATTGATCTGGTCATGGCTTCGCCGACTGATGCACGTGCATATTCATCGATATTCAACCTTTTGCTCTTCCTTTCTTTCTCCGTTCTCTCGTATTTTCGCCTACTCGCCTCGTCGAATCGCCCGATGAGTCGAAAAAAATTTCAATTTCGACGTCGCTGGTACGAACCGAGTCGTTCGAGGAACCGACGTGACGCAAGAAGCGACGCGCAGGTAGCAATCGGGCTGTTACAATTCGCCTCGTTGTTTGACAATAAGATTAATGGAAGGAATTCAGCGCAGGAAAGAAGTGTCTGCTTGTGTCGGCGACTCGACAAGAACGTGGCCCCCCCGTGATGAGTTCGTCGACCTAGTCTCTCTCGGACAGCAAAGTAAGCTGATAAAAGTGTATTTCGACCGTTCTGCCTCCCCCTTCTAAGCTTCGCGACCGATTCCAACTGTCGCTTGCAACAGACTTTTTCTTCCTCACAAGCAATACCTGCTGCACCATTCTGACTTGCCTCTTTTCTATTTATTCCAACATCGCGTTATACTTAAATACGCTTAAAACTGGAGAAATATTGCAATTTTGGGACAAAAAAAAGTCCTCGACGTGTGCTAGAGGTTAACCACTTGCGCTGGCAACCGATTGCGGACCATAACGAGCGGCCGAACCCGTATGCAACAATTCGTCGCTTTCTTTTCCTTTTGAACTCGTCGGTACGATACCACTGGATAAAAATTATTGAAAAGCAATAAATTTATCATCTGTTTTGCCCGGGTTATACTTAAATATACTTAAAACTGGAGAAATATTGCAATTTTGGGACAAAAAAGGTTATACTTAAATATACTTAAAACTGGAGAAATATTGCAATTTTGGGACAAAAAAAGTTTTCGACGTGCGCTGGCAACCGATTGCGGACCATAACGAGTGACCGAACCCGTATACAATAATTCGTCGCTTTCTTTTCCTTTTGAACTCGTCGGTACGATACCACTGAACAGAAAATTATTGAGAAGTAATAAATTTATCATCTGTTTTGCCCGGGTTATACTTAAATATACTTAAAACTGGGGAAATATTGCAATTTTGGGACAAAAAAGTTTCCGACGTGCGCTGGCAACCGATTGCGGACCACAACGAGTGACCGAACCGTATGCAACAATTCCTCGCTTTCTTTTCCTTTTGAACTCGTCGGTACGCTACCACTGAACAGAAAATTATTGAGAAGTAATAAATTTATCATCTGTTTTGTCCGGGTTATACTTAAATATACTTAAAACTGAGGAAATATTGCAATTTTGGGACAAAAAGTTCTCAAGAGGTTAATAAACTTTAATTATATTTATTTAAATATACTTATATTTATTGTAAACCACGTGGATTGATAAACTTTAATTATATTTATTTTGAACCACGTAGATTAACCACCTGCGCTGGCAACCAATTGCGGACCATAACGAGCGACCAAACCGTATACAATAATTCGTCGCTTTCTTTTCCTTTTGAACTCGTCGGTACGATATCACTGGATAGAAATTACTGAGAATTAGTAAATTTTAAAATTATTTGTTTTGGATCATACTGTTCCCTTAAATATACTTAAAACGGAGGAAATATTGCAATTTTGGGACATAAAAGTTGACTCGACGTGCGCAAGAGATTAAGAATAATCGTAAAGTTTTGAATAAGTCAAACACTACTAAGCAACATTAATTCTTTTGGCAACGTTTAAAAACAGTATTTAGAAAATTTTCAAAGACGAGACAAGGGAGAAAAGTATTGTGTTCGCGTAAGACGAGGAATTCCGAGAGATTTGGCCAAGTTTTGCCTGCAACTTGGTGACAAAAGCACACTTGGTCTAACGAGAAAAGTAATTCTTTTTACCGTAGAACCGACCGATAACGTACCGGCAATTCTAAAATTGCTCCTTCACAAAGAAACAAGAATTTATCACGCAGGTTTCGCCAGCTGTTTCACCTTCAGCCGTGTGCCGAACGACGCCCGAGAGATAGAAAATCAACAAAAATGGAAAGAATGGAGTTCCCATGTCCTACTCGCGCACAGTTGTTCCAGCCATTTAGCAACCAATCCCCGTGTCATTCGTTGGACGTAAATAATTAGCGCCGCGTCGTTTTATCGGCTCCTATTTGAATCCATCCAGTGTCCGCGGCGCCGATTGAGATATGAGGGCGCGATTGAACGGCGCGACGAAAATGATCGGATCAGATTGGGTTAGGTCGAATTTCCTTTTTTCAGCAACGGTAGGGGGACAAACTTTCGTCGATTCGATCGTTCGTGCCTTCTTCTAATTTTCGACCGCTTGCTCGCGGTGGTTCCGAGCACGGCCGGGCTCTCTATCTTATCGTTAATTGCGGTGGCGCGCATGCGCCGCCGCGAACCGTGCCCCGTCTCATTTTCTCCAGCGCGTTCCTCTCTCGCGCGTTTTCATCTTACTCGCGCGGCGTACGCGACACATACGCGAGGTACTTTGTGCCTTCCCGATGTGTCAGGAGGTGCAGATTACGGTGGACTAATAATAGACGACGATAAAAATTTGACGCGCAAAATGTTCCGCGGGGAAAACAGCGAAAACACGAGGGCAACGTACGGACACGGTTCGCGACTTTGACTCGCGGCAAGTTATTCGTCTTGTTTCCCCCTCCCCCCCTCCCCCTCCCCCTCGTTTCTCGTTCATCTCGGTCGTTGTACTGTCAATTCCAGTTTTTCTCGTTTTCAACGAACCACGTTGCCACGTTTGACGAATTTTACAATGATTTAAGGGGGGTATTTTGAAAAAAATCGATTTTTTTTTTTTTTTTGCATATTCTTAAAAGACACAGTAACATCTTCGAAAATAAATCTCTGCAACCTTACACGTGAACTGTTAAAATTAACGAGGTCACGGTTGTTTGAGGGACGCGACGTCATTGTTACCGCAAACTTTAAAGGCATTTTTCTGGAAACTATGTTTTTCAGAACGGTGTCCACGATATGTGAGAATCTACTTGGCCAATTGAATCGAAATTTTAAGTACGCATCTAGTACGTGTGCGACTGTAGCCTACTCTACCGGGATCAACCAAAAAATTTTATCTTTTATACTTTTTCTAGGCTTCCGAAGTTCAACAAAAAAAAAACATGCAAAAATCGATAATCGAACTTCAAAGTATCGCCACTTTTTTAATTACCGACTATTTTCTTTTGTTTTCGTACCTGCTATAGCCAAACTCGTGCTAATTAAGGAACACTCGCGTTTTTTTTATTTCCGACAAACAGAACGGCCTGGAATCATGGACACTGTAAGACTATGTTTGAGAGTATGCAGTGCCACTAATTTTAACTGTTTTTGTCCCAAAAAATTTTGAAACGCCGTTGAAATAAACTCTGTCAATTTGACTGCAAAAGGCATAATATGTTCTCTGCAAAAAATTCCTTAACAGAGTTAAAAAATACGCACTTCACGCTGGAGTATCCCCATAAAATCTACGAATTACTGTTACTCGAATGTTTCTCCTCGTTGAGATTTTAGAGCTTCGTTTTACATCGCAATCTTGCTTTTCTATTCTGAACGAAAGAAACAGACTTTGAACGTTTAGAGTCATTCGAATTGTCGAGAGTCCAGTACCGCGCACGGTATTACACGACGAGTTTGAATTTATATCTTCTAGCCTGCATATTTTATAATATTGCTATTAGTTTCTCGAGAACAAGAGAAACTAATTATCTTAAATATATTTTGCATCATCTGCCACCCGATATATTCGCGCAGAGTGTATCGCTCGATTCACGAATTAACCTCTTGCGCCTGTAACTGGTTCACGGACCGTAACGAGTGACCAAACGGTCGAATGATAGAAATTAAATATTATTTATTAGATATTATATATTATTTATTATTTATTAATATTATATATTATTTATTATATTATGTATGATTATTTATAATTTATTTTACATATATTATTTACTATTTATAGAATTTATTATTATAAGAAGTAACAAACTTGTCATTTGCTTTGCCTCGGTTGCATTTCAACACTTGGGTATTAATTTAGTAATTAATAACAATAATAATTAATTGTGAATTAATACTTAAGTACTTAAAACTGAGAAAATGTTGCGATTTTTGGGGCCAAATATTCTCTCGACGTGCGTGACACGTCATTCCAGCGCGAAGGAACGAACGTTCCAAGAAAAATGCCCGAGACGAAAAGTGACGTTGAACGTCACAACTCTTTGTCACTTTCGTCAAGCAGCTGGGTAAAGCAGCATCGAACATGCGATCCGATTGTTGCGTCATTCGAGAGAGTCGACTTTTAGCTCGAATTTTCAGCAATACCGATCTTCCTTCCGATTTCTCTTCCGTTCATCTTCGATTCGACTTTCACGGCCGATTCGGGCCGAAACGGAGTTTCTCCTCGCGATTCCCGAGTCACCCTTCGGAACGGGCGCCGATGTTGAACCCGATAATCGCCGGGCGTTCGTACGAAATAAAAAACTACGTGAGCGCGCGCGCGTGTGTGTACACGTTTTCGTTCGACAAACGGATAAACGGCGGCAGGCGAGCGCGATAATTTCCCCGGCACGCGAATTCTATTGAAGAGATTAATGCACGGATAGCGTACGCTTCGAACGTGGTTGTTTTCTAGATAAAAATTGGCCAAAAAAAAAAAAAAAAAAAAAAAAAAAAAAAAAGAAAAAAATTGTAACAGACTTCCGTTGCAAATTTTCGTAATGAGTAGCCGGAGCCCGGCGTGCAAGCCCGAGCAGATGCTCGACGGAAAATTTTCCGAATAAGCAAACAACGGAAACGGGTGGAAACTTTTTAATTACCGGTTCGTACGCCGCCGCTATAGATTCGCCGCACTCGTGCATCGCGGATCCTATTTAATGACACAACTTCTGCCACGATATAAAAGTATCCAAAGGCAGAACGGATCGAGAACCGAGTAACGAGCCAGCGGGGGAGGGGATCCGCCACGTGGATACGCGGATTCGCGACAACGAATCTGTTCCCGATCCTTTTGGAACACGAGAGGGGGGCACACGGGAATGCGATCGCGACACTTTCCTTTGCTAGCGCGGAATGCAAATACCTATATCAGTGGTGGCTTCGTTTCGCTGCGAGGTGTAAGACGAGTCGCGTGATGATAACACCGGGTAGGTGAATCGACGCTCTCCTCGTTCTGGTTACCAAGCTGGTTCACGCACGAATTTCAACAGCTAGCGGGGCAAAGGCGACTCGTTTCTAGACGTTTTTTTTTTTTTTCAGTATTCGAAACTATAAAGCAGTTTCTCGTCGGTGCATCGTCCATAATCGAGAGATTGATCGGTTCGTAACGGCAAAGATGAAAGATAGAGACTGTGACTGTACTTACTTAAAGATACTCTTGGGGTCGATACCTGCTGTCATCCTCAGAGGTATTTTCTGTTGTTCCAGTATAGATATGTTGTTATCCTGCAGACAGAAAGCGCGATCGTGTCACTTAACCCTTCCCCTGGCGGAAAAGGCATATCGGTGTGATATTCGTAAAAAAAAAAAAAAAAGAGTAGAAAAAAGTTAGAAGAACAAAACGTAAACGTAAATGTGAGAGAAAGAGGGCACACAATTTGCGTTGGATGATTTGCTCTTGGTGTGTGTGTGTGTGTCTATCGCGTACACTAGACGCGGAGATAGGAGAAGGAAAGCGAGATCTCTACCCACGCCAGAAGGAGCCACGTACCTGAGAGTTTTTCGGTTTGGCCGATAAGTCGAGAGGTTGATCGGCTGGCGTTGCACTGTCCTGATGAGGCTGCACCCCTGCAACGAGAGGTGCCTCCCTTGGTGGCAGACACCACTGTGGCAGTAGGGTAGGGTAGCTACCGGTGAGAGCGGCGGCGACCACGGACGCCGCCATCGGGTCCACCTGGACCGACATCGGTGACTCGGCCGACCGCGAGCTGCTGCTACTGTCGCTCTGCGGGCTCTGCAGGATCGCGACACATCGAACGTTATGTGTTCGGTCCGGCTCGTCATTGGTCCGACGAAACACACGGAAAGGAACTGATTACCACCGGCGTGGGAGGGAAGAAACGATCATGGAAAAAGGAGGCGAACCCCGTCCGACGTTGGAGGACAAATCGAATCCTGATCAAATTCGCTTTTTCACGCGACGCCACGCCACGCCACGCAGGAGAGTAGTATATATGCGGAAGGGGGGGCTTCGTGAAACTTTTATAAGGGCAGCGCGTCAAAGTGATCAAAGCCGCGAGAGAGAGAGATAGATAGAGATAGAGAGATAGATAGAGAGAGAGAGAGAGAGAGACGTACGGGGTGCTCTTTCTGCGCGAGAGATAATCAAAAATTGAACTAGTTTTCCTAGTGTTTCCTGAGAGCGACACGCCGGGAGGGACCGATAGATATAGATATATAGTTTTATATATATATATATATATATATCCGACCATACACCACCACACGTGAAACACAAGTGTTGTCCTTTCCGCGCGGTTAATTATGCGTACTGGAGATATCTCGCGTTCGGCTAATGCAGTTTTATGCGCGACGTGTCGCGTCATGGTGGCAACGTTTCGTCCTGAGCCCTGAGAACCTGAAGAAGCGTGACGCAAATGACCACGTGGAATAATCCATCAGAATCGGACTGAACTCGACCGTCAACGTGTGACGGTAACGTGAACGTCGCCACCATGACGCGACCAAGACACATTCCGCCTTAGCCCCCGCTGGAGGCTAACGAGAGTGGCATACTTACGAGTGGTGGTTGATCATCGTGCGGTAGCTTGCCGTCCAGGCAAAAGTAACACTTGTCTAGCGGCTTCCAGTCTTCCGGCGGTGGGCTGGTGCGTCGGCTTCCACCGACGAGAAACGGCGCTACCGTGTTCCTAGCGGCTGCATCAACCTCCCGACACGGCAGTACTCCTGACCTGATGCCGTCCGAATCCGGGGCCGGTGTCGTCAATATCGTCGGGCCGCCTCCTCCACAACTCGGCACACCTTGCAGCTCCTCCTCCGTTTTTACCCGCAACGAACCCTGCGTCACCGGTGTCCGCTCCAACGCGACTTCCTCCGTTCGTTCCTGCAACAGAATCCGTCGTTGTACCACCCTTTATTTCGTTTCGAGCAGAAACAGAGAGAGACAGAGAGAGAGAGAGAGAGAGACGAATGAAAAATCTACAAACCTTGGTCCCTTCCGTGTCTGTTGCGTTGGCAGTCGGATAATCCCGAGATCCTCGATCGTTCTCCCTCCTCAGAGGACTGACGGGCCTGCTCGTGTCGGCGTTTTCGTCCAGTTTCAGCCGTTTCTCCGTCTCGGCCTGTCCGACTCTCCCGTCCTCCTCCTCCTCGTTCTCTTCGTCGTCCTCTCTGTCGTCGGTGGCCTCTCCATCGTTCTGCCGGCGTTTGCGTCGTCGTCTCGTCGGGATCGTGGTGGTCCCCGTGGTCATCGCGGCCGTGCTGATGGTGGCGATCGTGCCGGTCGCTGTACTGGTGCACACGGCGAGGATGCTCGTTCCCGTTGTTGTCGTCGTCGACGTGCTCGTCGTCGTCGTCGTCGTCGTCGTCGTGGCCGTCACCGTCGACTCCTCTCGGCCGACACCGTTCGCGAACTCGTCCTCGCCGACCTCGACTTTGATCTCGTCCGGCCTCAGGCGACGCTCTTCCTGTTGCCGTTGCCGTTGCTGCTGCTGCTGCTGCTGTTGTTGTTGTTGTTGTTGTTGACAGTGATGTTGATGGTGATCTTGAACGACGGTGGAGGGCTGAAGGTGATGGTGATTTTGCAGGTGATGCCTCTGCAGGCTCTCCTGCTTGATCAGGCCCGTCGTCGTCGTCGTCGTCGCCGTCGTTGCCGCTGTCGTCGTCGTTGCCGGTGACACCGTCGTTGTGGCCGTTATCGTTGTAGGTAACGAGGAGGACGCAGGATGAAGCGGACGCGACCCAATTTGTTCCAAGTTGCCGGGCACCGGGTCGCAGGACGACGAGAACGCCGGGTATAGCCGGTGGTGGGGCTGTGCCGTCAGTGATTCGCTGCTGCGAGTACCGCTGTACAGGGTGTCCTGATATTGCTTCCATCTCCTACGGCCCATCAACTCCTCCGCTACCCGTTCCAGACCTGCGACACCACCGCAACTACATCAAACAATGATGTGCGCCACTTGCCCGTGCGTAAATCCCTATGCCAACCACTTCTCTAGAATCATGTCTAGTCTTAATCCGAGAACAGACAGATACTCGTCTTAAGGAACATGATCGTGAGAACAAGTACGAGATTTTTACATTTTTAACTTCCAGTCGCGGCCTGTCGTTGCTGCTGTTTGACAAAATCGCCCCGTAAAAGATGACGACACGTTCTCTAATGATCGATTTCCAAGGAATTGACAAATAATTTAAAAGTAATAAAATAATTTAGATACACTTTTATAGTACGTTTAGGTCCCACAGTCAAACAAAACGAGAGGATTGACATAAAACTGGAAGGATTTCACAAATTTTTACTTGTTCTGTCGTCTGACAGAAATCTATCAGACTATGTTTTCAAGATATGTAAGAAGAGGATTTTAAAAACAATACGGAACTGCATGTTCTCTGTCCTCTTCGTATCGATGAAATAAAAATTCTTTTATTACAAAACCTTCTCGTTTGTAATTATCGACCAATTTACGGAGAAAAGCAGATACAAATTACACTGACTTTTGTTAAAAGATATCTCCGCGAAGAAGTCGACGAAAGGGTGCCGATAAACCATCGCCAGGGAAAAGGCGTTGTGAGTTTCTCGCGTGAGTATAAAGATCCGTTAACCGCGATAAACCTCTCGCGGTAATCGGCACGCCGATGTCGGAATCACCGCCAAAATCGCATGCTCGAGAAAACCGACCGGACGCGGCGGTTTTTTCGAAGGACACAGCGGCAACACGCACGTCCCAGTATCTGGCCGAGTGTGTCGCAACATCGAAAAGCGTGGCGGTGCAACGCGAACGCGTTTGCTAATGCTTCCTCTCCTCTTTTTCGCCGATCGTTCTATCTGGATTGCCTGCAACTCCACCGTCATAACGATTCTACCGCCATTTGGAAATCTCGTTCCACAAACGATATTGCCTATTGCCATTTTTCAAATCTCCGAGTCGTTCGTGTGCGAAATTTCATTAGAATAATTATGCGATCATGAGACACGACTGACATCGGAAAATGGCCAAGTAGCCAGTCTGCGTAGATAATAAATGTCGCAGAGATCAGCAAAAAATATTTAAACAGTCCAGTATCTGTTATTCGACATTTTTAACGTTTCGACTTTTTACCTAATGACACGTTTGCGATAAATATATATATATATATATATATATATATATATACACACACGATGTATACGATAATTGTAATTTCTACTTTCAGGTTTCAGTTTCAAACTTAACCAACGAAAATTCTCAATGTCAAGTATTTCTCATCGCTGCACGTGCTCACGATAACTCTCACTCGTTTGTCATTACATAGAATTACGTTGAATTTTATTGAAAGAAAAAAAAAGAGAAACTAAAAGATGCGTCAAATGGCTCTAATGCGATAACAACTAGGGTACTGTAAATCCTACAGACGTGTCGTAATTCGGCTGGACACACCTCGCAATAGTTATCGACGATAACAGAAATTTCTTTTTCTCGTTTTTCTTTTTTCTTTCTTTCTTTTTTTTTTTTTTTTTNTTTTTTTAATCCAAAGGTCGAATAGTCGAGCGTTATCGTAACGATGTGACGTACCTCGTTACCAACGGCGAGAAAGGATTCCGGCGAAAGCCAAGATTCATACTGATAACGTGCGCGCCACTATTTTTAATGCATCGCTTGCGACCGATATTAATTCTCAAAATAAATATCCAACGCGAAATATCGAGTCCCAATGTAAATTCAACCGCGTTTATTTTTCCTTGGCGATCGATATCATGATGAAACTGCCTGACAATTCTATTTCGAAGCAACGAGCAAATGCGTGACGACGTAAAAACAAAAAAAAAAAAAAAAAGAAAAAAGAAAAAACGAATGATTCGGCCGGCGATTCGGAAAAAAATCGCGCGGCGACACCATCCCATGGGGGGATGAAAAAAAATTCTCAATACTTGCGCCGGCTATTCATCCGGCGGTGCTCGAATTGGGCCGCAAACGCGCCTCTTCGCAGAGTCCCACTTTGAATGCGTCAATTGATTCTAAACAGACACCCGGTACGGTGGCACGCGTCCCGCAAATGCACCATAACTGTCACGTCATTTGGTCGTCGCGTGTGCCACGAGCACATGCCAACCGATGAACGTACGTAAATATATTCGCGTGTGTTTAGTAGGATCTCGCGTGCGCAAGAAGATCGAGCGGCGGAGGCGAATTTTTTTTTTTTTTTTTCATCGCCTTTATTTCTCACCCGGATTGATTTTGTCGTCGCGCCGATTTTGACTTCACTCGTCGTCGGGCAAAATCCTCTCGCGATGCGAGCTACGCGCCAGATCGCGACCGATCGTGACGAAATTTTCGAACAGCGATGCCGATTCTGCGCGACACTTGCGAAATTCCCGCCGTTTCGTTCTCCACGTTTCGTTCGCCACGTTTATAAAACGATGTAAGAAAGAAAGAAAGAAATATTCGAGCACCGGAAGGAGGTACGTACCTACCGTAAATAATAAGATTTCGATGGAATCGCTTCAAAAAAAAAAAAAAAAAAAAGACACGAGGGTGATGCACACGTCCGGATGCATTATCGATCGGGGCAAGGTTGCATTAAATGCTCGCCAGGCTGCAAAAGGAGCGCGCGCGATGAAAAACATCTGAATAAATTATTATTGTTTGTCGAACGTTTCGAACGGACGAATAACGACGGCCCCTCATCGTGGTAGCCCATCGGTTGTTTGTACGGCCATTATTTAAACGCTCTAGTTCCACGCAGCTTATCAAATACAGGTATAATGCCAGTTTGCGGAAATGCGAACTGGATCTGCGCCGAGCGTCGCCGCCGCGGCACACCGGCGTATATCTGCTTGCACGCGCTGCTGTCAGAAAAACGTATGACAAGCATTACGGTCAGGGCTGAGTTTATACAGGCGGACTTTAAACGGAGCTGCTCCGTGCAGCGATATGCACGTTACTTTTAAACGTGTTGGGGGGGGGGGGGCTTGTTTCGTAATTGTTTCTTCGGGGCATGAGAATCGTCGTTCTTAAATCACCGTTGCGATCTACGACTACATTTCGAACGCCGTTTGCAAATTCGACCACTCTGTGTGTGTGTACCGCGCGAGTACCAATAACGTGCTCGGCTGACGTGTTTCTTTCTCGCGTTTAGCCGCTCGTAGATTTTTAATAATGCATCGATAAGGGGGAACACAAATTGCACAAGTTAACGCAATCACCGTAACCGTCCTGTTCGAGAAAACCTCGAACTTCTTCGTAATCGAACCGTGCATGAATCGCATCGGACAGCCGCGCCAACAATTATACGAATCGTCATCTCTCTCTCTCTCTCTCTCTCGCGCGCGCGCGAGAAACGTGCCTGGCCCCCCAAGGCTGTGGCAGCGGAGTGAGTCATGAAAAATCTGTCCGGAATAAGGCGCGATCGTTGCGCGAAAAGAAAAAAAAAAAAAAAAATTTTTTCTCTCTCTCTCTCTCTCTCTCTCTCCTCTCTTTCTTCTTCGTTAAATTTAGCCTCATTTCTCGATGACGTCAAATCCAACTCATCTACCGCCGCGATGGAAACAAAAGGAACGGGCGCGTTGTGCTCTAGCGCGCCGCCAAGAACGAAGGAGGAGGAGGGGGGGAAAGTCTCGGAAAGACGCGAAAAATCTCTTTGTATCGCGGAATTAACTCGCGAAACGATACGCTGCTGATTATTACGTGGCAACTTTCGGACAACACGCGACTTCATTCCCTGTCCTCTTTAATTAAAAACTTCCTGCCTGTCATTCCCGTAGTCTCCAAGTTTCGTTACTTTCTTCGTTCAATTTGACAACGTTTAGCCAGTGTTTCGCGATACGTAGCTTCACTTGAAAGCTGGAAGAAAAAAAAAGAAGAAGAGAAAAGAAGAAGAAAAATAAGAGAAAGAAGCTGCTAGATATGATATTTTATCCGGACGGGGAGAATATGACATTTCAACTGGACAAAATGTCACGCTCGATACGTAAATCGAATGCCTCTTGCTGCTGTTATCTCTCTGATTTTTTCTTTTTTTTCTTTTTTTTCATTAAACGTCTATTGTTGTACTTATCGTTGGGAAAAACGTAGAGGCGCGAGTCGAGACACTCCCGCTGCATCGTTCGATCGAATGGTTGCAAAAATTTCATAATTAATTCAGCTGTAGCTTATTCGCTACCGTGACATTCACGAGAAAGGAAAAAAGGAAAAGATACGAGATGTTTGCAACACTAAAATTAAAGTGCTACTCGAAAACAGCTATGGTCGTACGTCTGACTCACACCATTGTGATTCTTGATAATTAACGCACGTATAAGCAGACTGCGGAGTTTAGATTTAAAAAAATGTAAATGATATTTGAAATTGAAGAAATATTTGTTGAATTGAAGAAATATTTAACGTTTATTAAACGTTTAATAAATGAGATCTTGCCTCTGTACATTTACGAGGACAGGAAATTTGCATAAACGTCGGCAAATCACAATGCGAAATACTGGATGAAGTAGAATTTTCTGCTAAACGTACAGCAATTAGATATTATGGCCAACAGTGTGCACGTGCGATACGCCGAACACGATTAGATGGCCACGAGCACGTTCAATTTGAGGCTGGATTCACTCGAAAAACGCATCGCAAGACAATCGTCTTGGAATTAACGACGTAACCGTAACCGTACAATTGACGTTGTACTTTCGATGGTGAATGCCCAGGTTAAGATTCCCCTTTCCTTCGAAAGGTCTGATTAACCCAAGTATACGATCCGCGTCTGCTGGTTGCAGCATCGTCGACCTTGCATATAATCAATGGGTTCTGAGAGAATCATCTGCCAGGAAAGTAGTAATCGCGCTTTTTCCTCTCACTCAGGCTCTTCGCCGAGTGGGCGGCGAAACACAGGATCCGGATTTCCAAATGAATGAACAGATCTGGCAGAATGTGCAACGGTATATGCAACGAAGTGAAGAAAGAGGACAT